ACATAATATATTACTACATGAAATACATATATTCTACGCTAAAAGTTTGAATATATTTGTATTTGAAGACCAAAACAATAAGAATGTGCGCCCAGGAACTAGGTACATGCCGGGAAGTTGACTTTGACCTTAACTCTCTCTATTGATCGATCTACCGCGTACTCTTAGACAGTTACTTGATTACGATTAAACTGTTGAACAAGCGAAGCAAAGGAATCGATGCAACGGCCAACGTCGACAGCTGTTGACGTAGTCGAGTCGTGCGAATCGAAATTCCTCCGTTCCAATGACCACGAGGGCCTAAGTGCATTCGTCGATACGTACCGGCTTCGCGGTGACATTCGATGTTATGAAGTCGATCCATAAGCTCCTTCCAAAAATATAACTTTTCTGCGACTGACACTCGTTCACACGTCTTTGTTTACTAATATGGAACGATTCGTTCTCGTTCAACCTGTACCTATGATTCGCAATTAAGGAGATCAGCTTGAAACTTTTTCTATTGTACATCACATCTTGATTGAGTTTGTAAAGTGTCGGGCATTGGCCGATAATAGTGTTCTCCGTCGCGTTGAATACGAATTCCTTTTTCTTGAGGTTAACACCAACGCTCAGCTGATCCCCGATGAACTGGTATATTTCCAATAACGCCTCCTTGTTTGTCACGTTTTCCGTCAAGAACTGATAATCCGTTACTCCCTTAAAATCGAAGCTCATTCGGTAACGTATCCGGTTGAATTGAAGGGATGACGGTGTGAAAACGTTATTGTCCACCATGTGTATGGGGTCAGTACTCGGTGAATAAGAAATGGTCTTCGGGATGTGACATTTTAGATTCTCATTTTCATGCGGCTGACACTTCAGGTTGAACTCCAGGCCGGCGTTGCTCTCCTTATTGTCTGTTTTTGAGTGGTTGTTTAATAACGTGTCTATCCGCACGTGGAATATGTACGTGGGCGTATGGTTGCTTTCATTCTGTGCGACATAGCCTGAAAAAAGTCCGAGCATGACGTTACTCGTTGCAATGAGACCGTACCGAGGTTTAACCGAGTAATGGAACGCTCAACTGACCTAGGAAAAACGGTATCATGGGTAAAATTAGCATGATGATCCACTGATTATTGAATAATCCTGGTGTCTTTGTCAGAGGTTGCTTCCGCGAGATCGATCTATCTTCGTGACTTCAGTTTTCGTATAAGGTCACGTGCAACGTGCAATATTCTGTAGACGCTGAAGAATGCGCGTTCGACGAGCTGCAAACGAAAGCAGAATTTTAGAAATGAAATTCGGACGGCGGTCGATGCAAGAGAGCGCAAAAGAGCGAACCGATCCTTTGTTTATTGAAAAGAAGAACTTTCTCACCTTGTATATTGCTTTCGCGTGTCATATGGTAGGAACGTGTGCGCCGCAGAAACAGCTTGCGAACGCTTGGAGTCGCGAATATTTATATTACAAACCGCGCAACTGAATAGCGATGATCATTTTTTTCCGGACAAAACGTCTTTCGAATCATCTTTCAGCTTACAATAGAAACTAACATATATCTGAATATTTGTCAACACAGCAAAAACTAGACGACAGTCAAACCGTTAAACATCCAAAATTTGCGAAATCTCACTTGCACTTGTGGAAGATACAGAAAAGGTGTATTTATAGAAACTTCGGTAGTCTCTACAGGGTATAGAAATAAATTAACGGGTATGTTAAAAATCATTTATTTCGTTAGTTTTATCAATGGTAAAAAGAAACCAATATTTGTAAAAAGGAACTTTTGCATACAGTTCGTACGCAACATTGTTCGGAGCGAGAAAAGAAATAAACAATCTTGTAAGAAATTCTGTTAACAGAATCAATATCACTTATTACTTATTGAGCCTTCTGCGATCACACCCGCCACGATGGGTTTCAAAAAGATCCTGGATGGAAAGTCTTCTAGGGGCAGTACTGATTTTAAAAAGACTTCAACGCTCTCCACAGCATTACCAATTAGAGTAATATTCTGGTCGTACAACTTAAAAGTGTTCTGTGTTTTGGACTGGAAATTGTACTTGGATAACGTCATAAGACTTTGTGACGTATTTATAGAAAATACTGTGCCTACGTGCAGTTTCGAATTGTTCAGACAAAGATACGTGAAATTATGTTTTCACATTGCCATGATCTTTCATGACAGGACATACGCAAAAAATTGAAGAAGATGCATTCCTAACTGACGCACATACAATTTTGTAAAATTATTACGACATAATCTCGTTTCACTTTACCTGAAAAATTCAAGAATACTCACTACGCAACCCGAAGTTGCACTTTCGGTAGTCTCTACAGGGTATAGAAATAAATAAACGTGTATGTTAAAAATCATTTATTCCGTCACACAGTTTTGTCAATGGTAAAAAGTAACCAATATTTGTAAAAAGGAACTTTTGCATACAGTTCGTACGCAACATTGTTTGGAGCGAGAAAAGAAATAAACAATCTTGTAAGAAATTCTGTTAACAGAATCAATGTCACTTATTGAGAATCAATATTACTTATTGAGCCTTCTGCGATCACACCCGCCACGATGGGTTTCAAAAAGATCCTGGATGGAAAGTCTTCTGGGGGCAGTATTGATTTTAAAAAGACTTCAACGCTCTCCACAGCATTACCAATTAGAGTCATATTCTGGTCGTACAACTTAAAAGTGTTCTGTGTTTTGGACTGGAAATTGTGCTTGGATAACGTCATAAGACTGTGTGACGATATCTGCAACAAACAAATGCGATTGTACATCGGTTTGATATAATAACTCGAAATATTTGCTTCCGTCATACGTCGCGTTAACACGCTTCCGAAAGAAAAACAGACGTGGACGTTGTCATAGAATTTTTTGTTGGCCGTGCTTAATATTATGACAATTAATATTAATTAATTATATAGTAATTAATGTATATAGTAATTATATAGTAATTAATGTATATAATAATTATATAGTAATTAATGTATATAGTAATTATATAGTAATTAATGTATATAGTAATTATATAGTAATTAATGTATATAGTAATTATATAGTAATTAATGTATATAGTAATTATATAGTAATTAATGTATATAGTAATTATATAGTAATTAATGTATATAGTAATTATATAGTAATTAATGTATATAGTAATTATATAGTAATTAATGTATATAGTAATTATATAGTAATTAATGTATATAGTAATTATATAGTAATTAATGTATATAGTAATTATATAGTAATTAATGTATATAGTAATTATATAGTAATTAATGTATATAGTAATTATATAGTAATTAATGTATATAGTAATTATATAGTAATTAATGTATATAGTAATTATATAGTAATTAATGTATATAGTAATTATATAGTAATTAATGTATATAGTAATTATATAGTAATTAATGTATATAGTAATTATATAGTAATTAATGTATATAGTAATTATATAGTAATTAATGTATATAGTAATTATATAGTAATTAATGTATATAGTAATTATATAGTAATTAATGTATATAGTAATTATATAGTAATTAATGTATATAGTAATTATAGTAATTAATGTATATAGTAATTAATGTATATAGTAATTATAGTAATTAATGTATATAGTAATTATATAGTAATTAATGTATATAGTAATTATATAGTAATTAATGTATATAGTAATTAATGTCGCAATATAATTATACGTTTTCAACTACTCCATAATAATCGAGATGTCAATTTACGGTTAATTATCTTCAGCCGCGATAATTAATCCAGCGCAGGTGGAGATCACCGCGGCTGTCAAAACACTGTTTCGCAATGCTTGACGGAGTAGTTCGGGTCGCAGACACGTTAATTCGGTAAATCAACGAGATACTCACTATTTCCTCGCTGATATCATTGGGGATAAATTCGCTCCAAAAATTATTGCCGAACATGTAACTGGACGTCGTTTCACAAAATGGCGCATATCTTTCTTTGGAGATATATATTGTTTCTTTTTCTTCGAAGAAATAATTTTCGTGCGTCAGAGTCACGTTTTCGTGCAGTATGCGTGTCTGGTTCTTAATTCTCATATGACTGACCTCGAAATTCGTGGAACACTTGCCAATAACTGATTGTTCTATCGACTCGAACGTCAAGTATTCCTTGGAAACATCCAATTCGACACCGACGCTGAACTGACTGCCTAAGAGACGGTACATGTTCAACATAAAATCCATGGTGTTATCGTCCGTTCTCTCGACGGCATAATCGGTCACGCCATTGTCGTTGAATCTAATTTGGAAGAGGTTTTTCTTATAGGAGTCGTCGATGTTCACCAGAGTTGGCATTTTCGACGGATACTGCTTGTGCTTCTCTTTACGGCATAACAGTGCGTTTAGCTGGTATGTGCGGCACTTGAATTCGATCGTCACTGTGCGTCTGTTTGGTGGAGGGTTCATCTGGTTGTTCAGGATAGCTGTAGTCGCCAGTTGTGCTACAAACGTGTATTCGGGACTCACGTCCTCGTAGTAGGGGGGTGAGGGCACATTAACGACTGCAAAAGATCGATCGTAACGATATTTATAACATAATTTTGCCTTTAACAAAAATCCTCTTGTATACGGCCTCAAAAGGGTTCTTCTGAAATCGAGAGAAAAAGCAAGCACAATATTCGTGAATCTCGTCTTTCATCTAGACTTGCAAAGGATGCAAGTCTCGTATTTGACAGAAATTTCTTTTAGCGAAGAGGACAAGTAAAGAGTCTGCTTCAAATGAACATATTCCTCTTGCTTCAAAAGGAAAAAAGTAAAATAATATTTAGTAGATCACCAAGTAATATTTCATCTTATTAGGAGATATATAGAGAAGGAATACTCTTTATGTAAATGCCCTTGTCAGGCAATAGAAACAGGAATTCGGATTAGTCAATTATTTCTATTCCCTGTTTCTATTGACTAATGTCTGTTTCTATTGTTTGTAGCGTGGCATTGTGCAAGGACTTTAAGAGTTTCCTCTTAGAACATGAAATAACAGGTAACAGCCCTTTGTAACTAGAATTCTTTTCTTAAGTGTTAGAAAATTTTTCTCTTGGCTGTAGAAAAATCCTCTCGAGAGGCCATGCAGAAGAGAAAGAATGAAATATATATATGTATTTTTTTTTTCAACAAACGAGATTGTCCTTTTAATATTCCTGTCTTTTCCCTTTCCTTTCTTTCAGCCTTAATATTTCGTTTTTTCGTGACAGAATTGATTGATGACTCGACTAACCTAAGAAAAACGGTATCACGTAATAAGACAGCATGTTGCCTGCTCTGTCGACTGCTCGTTAAGAAAACTTAGTCACTGTTTCGCAATTGCCTTCACGTCTCCACACGTGGATCTTCAGGGATCGATGAGTTAGACGGACAAGATGTATATAACGACACGTTTACACGTGGGTCCTGCAAACGTGTGTACAAAATATTACGCTCGCGTGCGCCACGTAGCTTCACAAGGACAAAATATCCCACTTACCCCGAGCACCATGTACACAAGCCTAGTCGGAACTGAGCCCCGCGCGTTTGATCGCGATCTCTCACTCGATCACACCCGTCCCGAAGGCGCACGTTGAACTCCCGTAGGAAACGGTCCGCAGTCCGCGTCCGTTGTCGCGCAAACTATCCCGGCTTATGAAGGACACTAACGCAAACAACTAGCGCCAATCGCACATAACCGATTGTAGCCAAGCCTACTGAGAAGATGGCCTTGGTCTAACAATCGGTCTTCTTGATCTTCCCTCTCTCCAAGTACATACAATAACGCGCTTTGCTTCGCCGTTAAACTTTATACCTGCCGCGGGAGACCCTTCAGGTGACATAATAGAACGCTGTCGGAACGTGGCAAGAGGAAGCTGCTCCTCTCCTCGTTGCCGTCTCAGTTTTACTCGCGTCACTTGCGTGCAATCGCTGTCGTCACAATCACACGTCGGATTGTTATTGTTAGTTCGAGGGTTTTTCCCCCGCGTCAATTTCATCGAGGCGTCGCGACAGTTAGGCCCATATCAATAGTTGTTTCTTGAAACTACTCAAAAAGGTGATACTCAGATCCCATTTTTAAAGCTTAGGACTTAATTAGAATCGATGTAATCTCTCTAAAGTATAAGGATGTTATAAAATGAGTCTTAATCGACCGATATAACCGAAAACAAAGCGATTCGAATGAGACACGCGTGTCTAAGGCCGTATTAATAGTCGTTATTTGATGTTTGTCTCATGTGTAAACACTCAGATTTTTATTCAGAATTAAAACTAAGTTTTCCAGTTGAATTATATGATGAGATACTCAGATTGGAGTTCAGAGATAGATGAGAGTTTTCCGATTGAATCACGATTACATTTATAACAGCTCTGTTCTTTTAACTAAGCTGTCTGAACTGGTAGTAAGTTCCTGAGTAGAAATTTATCTAGTTTCTGACCGGTAACTGTCCAGGAATTTCTGATAACTAGCTAGTCAGTTAGTCAGCTAGTCAGTTTTTAGCTAGTTTTTTAGCTAAAAACTGACTGGTTTGGTCGACGCTCACTTCGTCAAAAACTGGACAGTTGAACTAGACAGTTTCAGATCAGTTTTTAACTAGATTTTTATCAGTGTCTGTTTATTAGCAGTTTCTAAGCAGTTTTTTACTAGTTTCTATATAATTTTTTACTATTTTATAATTTTTTTTATCGGTTTCTGATCAGTATCTATTTTTTCAGTTTATTAATAGTTATAAATAATTTAACTATATATGTATCGAAACAATAATTTTATTAAAATTAAATTTTTATAATTTTTATTTAAAAAATTTTTTTCATTTTTAATATAATATTTTATTTTATTTTGGCCAGAAACTATCTCAAAAGAATTCGTCAGTAATTTCCGATTTTTTGCTGAACAGAAAGTGCATAACATTTCCTTACTATTTTACTTGTATAGTTTCTGACAAATAACTGAAATACTGAACCTAAAATACTGAACAGTATTTTCAGAGTTTTTACTGGGCAGAAATTATCCAATATTTATTTACTATTTTTCTTGCATAACTTCTGACAAAAAACTACCCAAGAAATACTGAACAGTATTTTCAGAGTTTTTACTGGGCAGAAATTATCCAATATTTATTTACTATTTTTCTTGCATAACTTCTGACAAAAAACTACCCAAGAAATACTGAACAGTATTTTCAGAGTTTTTACTGGGCAGAAATTATCCAATATTTATTTACTATTTTTCTTGCATAACTTCTGACAAAAAACTACCCAAGAAATACTGAACAGTATTTTCAGAGTTTTTAATGGACAGAAACTGTTCAGTATTTATTTACTATTTTTTCAAGTCTAGTTTCTGATTAATAATTGGTCATGAAAAAATAGCCAGTATTTTCTGCCAAGTTTCAAAACTGGTACAGTAACTGTCTAATTAATTCCAGCCAGTAAAAACTGTCTAGTTATTGGCCAGTAATCAGTTATTCCCTGAGATGTTTCTACTTGGGTTAGAGCGAGACGCATGTATTTTTTGTTTCACTCTAACTTGTCGCACCAATCTGCACCAGTTCAAGCAGTTCACCTAAAAAGAACAGACCTATTGTCACGCATACCATATAATTCAACTGGAAAACCTTAGTTTTAATTCTAAGTAAAAATCTGAGTGTTTACACGTCAAACATCAAATAACGACTATTAATACGGCCTTAGACACGTGTCTCGTTCGAATCGCTTTGTTTTCGGTCATATCGGTCGATTAAAACTCATTTTATAACATCCTTATACCTTAGAGAAATTACATCGAAATTCTAATCAAGTCCTAAGATGGGAGTTAGCCAACTTGCTTAAGACTTAGGGTTTGGGACAGCGCGAAAAACGCTTAGGGCTGGAAATACATCACAATGCAGAACTTAAAGCACAAAGTTTAGGACTTAAAACATCTATTGTAGAATGGATCTAATCGGCTGAACGCGCGGGTCTTTCGATCAGTCGCTGATCTTTCGCGCAATTTGCTCGCCAGAGCGAAATGAGTATAGCCATCTCCTGGTGCGGCTCGCGAACTAAAAATACCAAACGCGTTTTCCTACGGTCGGTGATGGCTTTCTCGCGAGCGAATCATGACCATCAGATGTGCCTACGTAGGTAATATTGTAAAAGGAATCAATTTTTTATTGTTTTTTTTTTCTAAAGAAAGACAGAGCTTCTTCGATTGATATTAAATTTATAATGAAATGGAGAAAGAAAGCTGATAAAAATTTATGCAGACCTTTATAGATCTTCTCCTCTACTCGGTTATCGATTAATCGATCGTCTCGACGAATTATTTAAATAAGGGGGATTACATAAATGGCCCGTCAGATATCCCGTCACACTTGGTAAGCCCGATGATGAGGGCTGCGACAGCCGGTTTGAAAATATCTCGAAAAAAGTGATTCCCAAATCGCTGAGTGTGGATTGTGACTCTTGAGAGCTCACAGAAACTTCCGAAGGATATTTTGCACGTAAAAATTCCCGTGTCGGCCGTAAACGCATACCTAACGCGGGGAACTGGAATCGATAAATGAAATGGAGATAATGGCTCTTGCGTAACATTTTCTCGACCAGTTTTGTCGTGCCTGGCACCGGTTAATAAAGGAACACGGTTGTATTTATTATATTCCTCTTTACTCTCTACACGACGTTCGCGTCTAATTCAAGAATAATGCAAAATCATTCGTTCATGAGTAATTCCACCCACGCAGCATTAAAGTCAACGTTATTATCACTGAAAGATCGCTATAATATTTCAATAAATTAAATTCTTTTGCACATGTGAGAATACGTTGCAGTGATTCTCTCTATCGCGGAGATCAGCATGTTTATATCACTAAGACGTTAGAAGTATAGTTATATTTTGGGTAGACGTTGAGATGAGAGATATCAATTTAACCACAAGGCGATCTTCAACCAAGAAAGAAAATCAAGCAAGAAAATCTTGTATTAATGTTCGGGTTTAAGGTTTATTAAAAGGTCGCCTCCCTCATCTGCTCAACCCCGCACTCCCCCTAATTCTCCAGCACGGAGTTAAGGTTTATTAAAATCAACCAAGAAAATCTTGTATTAATGTTCGGGTTTAAGGTTTATTAAAAGTGTCGAGAAGCATACACACAACATTTTAAGATCATTAACGTCGTTGTCATCTTTGACGACATAATCGAAAGTCTCTCGTGTTTCGTGTTGGTGTAATATTTTTGGTGTTATATGCAATATATGTCTTATTCAATCAAGAGAGATCGACGTGGCGATTAAGACGGTCTCCTTCGAGATTGCGATGTGCCTAAAAATAATCATAAAGGATCTCCTGCTCCTGGACGACGTGCGAATTGGATAACACGTTCCGCGCCTCGAATCCGGACGATTTTCACGTCCGATGTTGTGAACCATCGCTGTAATGGTGATCGTGCGGAACGAATACCGCCTTCTTGAAATCGCACACGTCGTTTGCATATCGTCGAAGATGACAGATTACCACACTCGCCAAAGGCGATTAAACTGGTTTCCAGTACATCTCCTTGTCTGGGGGATCTGCGTCGTAATTATCGGTCTGAACGGCCGGCAGAGAAGTGCGCGAGCGTCCTGATTTCGGCATTCGTGCGTTCCCGCGAACGCTCGAGTTTATATTCACGCGCAATCGCAAGCGCAGAGAGCGAAGCGACGTTGAGCTGATGAGCAAACTCGACCTGGGGAAGTGACACCGGCGCCAAGATTTACAAACGCGCGATAGCCGTTGTTTGTCTCTCACGCGTCGGTCTACTTATCAAAGATCATCGTTTTTCTCTCAGCCAGGCCGGCAATTCAAGCGTCCACGTCTGACGCGCAGTTATTCCAATGACGTAGGCGAGCTCACGATTCCGCGCTTACTACTGTGCTGTTAGGCGTGCCGGAGCCGATTCACGCTCTCCTGTCTCTTCTGCGAGATTGTGCGCTCTCTTAAAATGAATCAGTCAAACATCACTGAAAACAGTGAATATACGAGGGTAGTTCCAGAAGTACCCGACCTGACGTATAGATGACGGTTGTTGTTTGAAAAAAATCACTATGGCCGAAAGCATCAACCTTATAAAGCTGAAGTTTGAAGTTTTAAGACGCTACGTTGTTTAGTATTAGTTTGGCAGCCATCAATAGTGAACGCTCTCAGTACATTTGTAAACATGGAGAAAATTGGTCATCGTTATATGATACAATATTTTCATTTGAAAGGTCTCAGTCCAACCAATATCAAAACTGAGCTAGATTCTACTCTGGGGGAGTCTGCTCCCTCGTTTACAACAATAAAATATTGGGTGGCAGAGTTTAAAAGAGGCCGTAAGAGCTGCCAAGACGAACATCGCAGTGGTCGACCAAATGAAGTGACCACGCCAGAAATGGTGACGAAAATCCACAAAATGGTATTGGATGACCGTCGACTGAAAGTGCGCGAGTTAGCTGACATGGTAGGCATATCAAAAAGTGCTGTACATCGCATATTGACTGAAAATTTGGACATGAAAAAGCTGTGCGCACGATGGGTGCCGCGTTTGCTCACAATTGAACAAAAACAGCGTCGTGAGGATGTTTCAATCGAGTGTTTGGCGATGTTTCGCAGTAATAAGGCCGAGTTTTTGCGTCGATTCATAACCATGGATGAAACATGGGTTCATCATTTCACACCTGAGACGAAAGAACAGTCGAAACAATGGACTGGAAGGGGAGAATCGGCTCCGAAAAAGGCGAAGACAACTCCATCGGCTGGCAAGGTTATGGCGTCAGTTTTTTGGGATGTGCGTGGGATAATTTTCATTGATTATCTTCAAAAAGGAGAAACAATCAACGGCGAGTATTATGCGAACTTATTGCAGCGTTTGAGTGATGAAATCAAGAAAAAACGTCCGCATTTGGCGAAAAAGAAAGTGTTTCATCATGACAATGCACCGGCTCACACGTCCGTTATTGCGATGGCCAAAATCAATGAGTTAAAGTTCGAATTGCTTTCTCACGCATCCTATTCACCAGATTTAGCCCCCTCAGATTATTATCTATTTCCAAACTTGAAAAAATGGCTTGGTGGTAAAAGATTTGCTAACAATGAAGAGGTGGAGTCTGCGGTTGATGGCTATTTTGAGGAACTCGATGGTTCTCACTATAAACATGGTATCGAAGCTATTTGAACATCGCTGGGAAAAGTGTATCGAGCTAAAAGGGGACTATGTTGAGAAATAAAGATATATTTTTTCAAAATTGTTGTGTTTTCTTTGTTAGGCCGGGTACTTCTGGGACTACCCTCGTGCACTGATTGCAGTTATAAGTATAGCATTGAAAGTGCTCAGCGCTATACTCATAACTGATATCAGTAACTGATTCACTTCAAGAGAGTGCATCGCAGATATTATGAGAATGACTCCCGTGCGACTCGGCATCGCGCAGACCAGCAGCCATTACCTGCGAGAACGCCGCGAGATTCCGCCTCGTCATCGTGTTAACGGGAGACACGCTGCGGACAAGCCCGCAGTGAAATTTATCAGGCGCAATTGCGCCCGAAGCGGGTCGGGGAAAACCCACGGTGTGTGTTCGCAGCGCTATTCCCATAAGCCCGCAGCAGAGCAGCCTTTAATCCCCACCTGGTCTCGCGGCACGATCTGATCCCCGTCAGGGTCACAGCAGAGCGAGGCGCATGCCACGTCTCGCCCCGGCTGCATTTCTGTTTTTGCGACGCGCTTTACAACCGTGATTAATGAATGGGCAAGGAGAGAGAGAGAGAGAGAAAGAGAGAGAGAGAGAGAGAGAGAGAGAGAGACAGGGTAGAAAATCGTAAAAACATTGTTGCAATTAGATGCGCGAGCACGAAGGACACGCGACTTACAAGGAATTGCCGCAGACCCGAACTAATCGATTCGTGGAGAAACCTCGCGGTTCAAAGTAACTTGGAATATGAATAGTCCGTCATTTGAGTTTAATGACACATAACAGCAATTCATAATGTGGGCGTAAATATCTCTCAGTGTATACTCAAAGAAAAACACGGTAATTTGATTCTGTATACTCGGAAGCTCGAGTTGTAATTAACGTTTTATTCCAGTAATACACTCGACATGAGTGTTTGAGAATGTTTGTCGTACTGAGCCAGTTAAGAGGTTGTAAAGACGACGTCTTTTCTTCCTGATTTGCTTGATAAAAACCATTTGCGTTGAAAATCTGATGAAAATGATTGCGTTTAAAGTCTGATAAAAAAAAGTCCAATCGTACGTCTCCTCCAATTCGATATAATCGCGACAAAATTTCGATGAAATCCGCAACGTGCTCTCTCTGTACTTTCCAATAGAAAATTCCTGACAGAAATATTTAAATGCGTTTTACATGCTGGACATATTATCCTCCCACTATCATGTTAATATTATTAAAGTAATATTAATATCTAATGGCAGTAAGACATCCGTGCTTGGCTCTTTATAAGCCATTTAAATATTTCTGTTAGTTATTCAAAGGAGCTTTTTATAATTTCGATTTAAAATTCCTGAATTCATCGACGGGCTGCTGGAGCGAAATGTTGGATTTACCGCATTGCGCGAGGGATTGATATCGACGTCGAGCATCCCTTCGCATCCTGTCATTTACATTTTCGTCGAGTCACGTCCTGCATCTACGGCGTGTGAAACCAGCCTCCCCGCCGGTATTCCCGCCTGATACGCTCATGGAAGAACCGGAATTCCGCGGGAGGACCGATTATTTAACGTAAGCGGCGGTCCTTTCACCAGAAAGTGGAGGAGCGCGCATTTCGCTGACAGGATGACAGGAGCAAAATCGCGTCCTGTAGATGCGGCACGCAGCGTGGTGATAAGAGTGGGAAAACCGAGCGCATTCACTTCCCGGAAAATTTTCCAGTGAGGAAAATGCATGAATTGCATCGTCAATTGCGTCCTGTTTATCATATCTGCCGATTATATCACCCCGCGATAGCATTCTCGTATAGATTCTTCACGGAAGAAGCACAAAGACCAGGTCGATCGCACGACAGTTTCTCGCACGGACAAAACAAGGCGCGACACAATATTTCGCGCTGACAATTTGTTATCTATACTTGCAATTTATTATTCATAAAAAATACCAAGCGCGGATACCTTGACAAGTGACAAGTGGAAATTTATCTGCCTCATAAACACTTGGATACGTTTTGGCCATTTTTCTTTTTGCTTTGCGCGTGACTCGTAGTAAAGATTACGTTTGGTGTGACTTTCCGAGCACGCGTCCAATTTTCACAATCAGCTCGCGTTTCGCGCATCCGCTTATCTTTCCTCACACCGTCGCGAGATGTCGGTGACGTAACGACGTGGCTTAATATTGAAAGCTGCATAAGGAGTAAACCAGCCGGGGAGACATCCAAAGGTCCTCGCGAGTTCACGATGTCATTCGTGATAACGCCTTTTGCAAAGCAATATTTCTTCTGATTGAACTTGGAAATTCCGATTTTTTATCGAGTCTCTCTCTCTCCCTCTGTTTCTCTTGATGTTAGCTCATGCGTTCGTGTCAGTAAATAGTTTCTATCTTCTTCTTCTCGACTTCACAACTTAAGTGGACTCATCGGGAGGGAGATTAATTATACGCACGAACCGTACGCGGCGGGTCTCATTAAAATCGCGATGAAACGGTACGATAATACACACGTAATACGCCGGCTGGAAAAGCTTGGAATTCATCGGCGACGCTGACCTTGCAGTTTCACAGTTCGCGCAATTCAGGAATCAGCGGTCTTTCGGATCCATAGCCGGGAGATGACTTCATCCATTGTGCGCTCGCTCATTGATTTTTGATTATAAATTCACACGCACGACACACAGGTCGGAATTGTGAGCACGAATAATGGCTCGTCTGTCGCAAGGAAAATTGCAGATTGCGAGAAGTTCGTATCGTATCGAGGAAGAAATAGTAACGGCGACACGTCAGCCTGCAATTTATCTCATTTGCTCTTGTCCATTCATAGTAAATGTTTATCGGAATGTGCCTCGTAATGCGGTGCAACATCTCATAATGACATTGTCGAAAGACGACGAGAAGTTGTGACGAGTCCACCACATCCTGTATTCAGTCGCTATGTAAACATTGATTGACATATTAGTGAAACCGACGAAACGCGTGACCGCAATAATCAAATTAATGCTTAACTTTCGAAAGCCAGTCTCGTCTGTATGAGTTTGTTATTTACGAAGACGAGATAATTCCAGTTCTTTCAACATTTCATCTAAAATCTCTCTTTGCTCTCTCTTCATCTCTTTCTTTCTTTCTTTCTCTCTCTCTCTCTCTTTCATCTAACTCGCCATGAATTTTAACTTAAGTCTGCAGAGATCGTAGCAGTGTTATCTTTTGTGATGAGCTAGTTAAAACAACAAAGACCTCCTTCTATGGCATAATATCAACAAAATGGGAAGATTTCGATGAGCGTTGAACTTTGTTCTCTCAGCGACAATTTACAGCTTCGTCACGCGCAAATTAGCCGTATTATCTGTCGAAACGCGGAGTAGTCGATCATCTCTAATGTTGCGCTGATCTACAGATTTTATCTGAATTGTAGATTCAGCAAATTTATTTCTACTCACTTTACGTATACAAGCGGATCGAAAGGACGGCCTGACGATTGTAGCTTTATCGTTAGAAAGATAAATAGTGGGTTTATCTCGCCGCGAAAGCCGGTTGCAGTTCGCGTTTCCGACGAATGCTTTCTTATCCGGCCATTCCTCGTGCACAGGTCGCTTCTCGAATACTTGCGTCTCACGAGATATCGCGAATCCAAGCGGGGGAAGTTGCGGCCAAGTTTTCCCACCGTCGCATGACTCGTCCGTGACTCTCCGTGGTGGGGACCGCGGTGTGGCACGCCGATTTATATAGAAGAAGAAACGCTTGCCACACCAGCACTTGAGATTCGAACGGTGAAATCGTCGTATCCCAGTCGTGAATCTCCGCACCGTTGAGTTGCGCATCGTCAGTGAAATTGTCGCGTCTTCGTCGTCGAGTTCGTGGAACACCTCGATACACTTGAGTAATCATGGTAAGTGGATCACTCTGTCTCCGATTCTCCATAACGAATGTTCTTTATCGCGAATTGTGATGTGTCTGTTCGATGCATGATAATCTTTTCAATTGATATATTTCATTCGACATCCAATAATTCGACAAATCAATGATTGAACGAATGCGCGTGATGATGATATTTTTACAAATACGATCGCTTCTCTCACACTGTTAAATCCGTAGTGTCAAATTATACTCAATTTGAGTTATTTTTAACCATTCCTATAGGTCGCCACTGCTCCTACTAAATATGTCGTTAATTTAACTAATGTAAAGGAGTTAAATAATTTAACTTAAAAAATGTATTAAATTTGACTAAAATTTAATTTATTTTTTATTATATGCACGTTAATGTAACCTTTGTTTTAGTAAAAAATGACTTAATATTGTTTTAAATGGGTTGATTAGATGTGGTTGTTTTTTTAAACACATGTTTTGTGTTAAAATAGTAAATTTTGACACACATGATAGTTAAAAATAACTAAATATTATTTAACTCAAGAAATTGGTTTAAATTTGACCCTCCAATATTTAACAGTGCAGACAATTCGAAACTGTTCGGTAGAGAGACGAGTACTTCGTGATTCTCTGGTATCCTGCTGCTCTTAACATGCGATTATTCGTTATTGCAGTTCAAATACATTGCACTGTTCACCGCCATGCTTTGCCTGGTGAACTCTCAACGACCATGGCACGCTGGCAGCAGCAACCGGCTGCCAATGGTTCTCCCGCAATACATTGACGAGCGAATAGCAGCGGAACAAGCGAGCCAAGTGACCGAAGTGGGCCAAACTGGCGTGCAACCAGGCCAAGCGGTTCAACCAGACCAAGCGATCCAACCAGGCCAAGCGGTTCAACCAGGCCAAACAGTTCAACCAGGCCAAACAGTTCAACCAGGCCAAGCGATTCAACCAGGCCAGACAATTCAATCAAACATAGGAGTTCGACCAGTGCAACCATTCCATCCAGGACAAGCGATTCAACCAGTGCAAGGAGCCCAAGTACCTCAGGGAGCATCAGCTTTCGCTAGCGCCGACGTAGGACTATCGAGTCGAATCAACGGAAGCGACGTAAATAACATCATGACAGCGCAGCCGTCAGTCCTCGGCACGACGTTCGCGACCACCACGATAAACCCGGCTGATCTACCGGTCGACGCTCACGGTGACGTCGACCTGGTGAACAGAATCAAGACCTGGCCGAGGGAGAAGCAGCCCTTCTGGTACATCAACTGGCAGGCGATCCAGGCGCATCGCGGCGACGTGAACAACAGTGCCCAAGTGGCGCAGGTGCAGCCTAATCTGAGATCATTCTTCGCAGGCTAAGGGACTGGACTGTTCTTCAGTCGCCCACTGACAAGACTGTAAACTTGAGCATTCCTCTTCTTAGCAGTAGGATAAGAGATGCGCGAGCGCATACGTGCGTATATTCGCGGCCGCTGACGATAGCGGTTTATTCCTAGTCAAAATCGGCTTTTCGGGACGAGAGACGAAGTTGTCGCGACTCGAAGAGTCGTCATTCAGGATTATCCTATTGATCCCCGGTTCCTTGGTGACAAACCACTCGCTGACGCGATCGAAGCGAGGCCCGTAAAACGAACGGTCTCGAGCGACTGTGCGAGTCATTTGCGCAACCAACGTGCCTTCATAACAGAAGAGGCACCGAGATTTTTATATGAAAACACAGAAAATTGTACAAGATTATACATGATCTTATAATAGAATAAATTTCGATATTCTTGAAAGAATAATATCGTGAGTATCTCGATAAGATATATATTACTCCACGCACCGCTGCGAACCATTACAATGTAGCGACGCGGTCAAGTTTTATATATTTATATTTACTTTCAACTCCCCTCTCATATATTTTTGCGACTTTTGCTAAAGTTAATCAACACCCTTTTCAACGTGATCTCGAAGTACTATATACGAATATCGTGCTCGAAAGTTAAAGGGTTTATTTCCAACTAAGGTTTCATATTTATAGGAGGTATCATATCGTACTAATGGGCGCGTTTAGCGAAAAAAGCGCTCAATGAGCAATCAGCGATTATTGGTTCTTACTGTTAGATCCCTAAATAGATTCCTAGACCAATTACATTGACGAATTGCTGAGTCCGCTGAACGCACCCAATGTCTACTGTGAACAAAACACTTTTGTCTCTGTTATTGCCTAGAAGGAAGATCTTTCTAGAAGAAAGATCTTTCTAGGAGAAAAATCTTTCTAGAAGGAAGATCAGCAACATTTCATTATACCTGAAAACTTGCTAGGTTTTTGGAGGCGTATCTTTTCTTAAAAAGCATGAGGACTGCGTTCCGATATTCACCGCTAGTACTGAAAATTTATAGTACATGTAATATCAACTAATTAGCTTTTCAGTACTGGCAATGAATGATTAAAAAACAGGGGTCTTATTCTCGAAAAATATCGCATACAATATTTCTATGAAAAACTATAGTTTACGTATACTATATCAAGCTACAGTTACATATATTATAGCTTTTCATAGAAATATCGTATGCGATATTTTTCGAGAATAAGGCCCCTGTTTTTTAATCACTCATTGCCAGTACTAAAGAACTAATTAGTTGATATTACTGTGAACAAAACATTTTTGTCTCTGTTATTGCCTAGAAGGAAGATCTTTCTAGAAGGAAGATCAGCAGCATTTCACTATACCTGAGAACTTGCTAGTTTTTTGGAGGCGTATCTTTTCTTAAAAAGCATGAGGACTGCGTTCCAATATTCACCGCTAGTACTGAAAATTTATAGTACATGTAATATCAACTAATTAGCTTTTCAGTACTGGCAATGAATGATTAAAAAACAGGGGTCTTATTCTCGAAAAATATCGCATACAATATTTCTATGAAAAACTATAGTTTACGTATACTATATCAAGCTACAGTTACATATATTATAGCTTTTCATAGAAATATCGTATGGGATATTTTTCGAGAATAAGGCCCCTGTTTTTTAATCATTCATTGCCAGTACTGAAGAGCTAATTAGTTGATATTACATGTACTATAAATTTTCAGTATTAGCGGTGAATATCGGAACGCAGTCCTCATGTTACTTATATTTTTTAAGAAAAGATACGCCTCCAAAAACCTAACAAGTTTTCAGGTATAGTGAAATGTTGCTGATTTTCCTTCTAGAAAGATCTTCCTTCTAGAAAGATCTTCCTTCTAGCCAATAACAGAGACAAAAGTGTTTTGTTCACAGTAGACATTGGGTGCGTTCAGCGAACTCAGCAATTCGTCAATGTAATTGGTCTAGGGATCTATTTAAGAATCTAACAGTAAGAACCAATAATCGCTGATTGCTCATTGAACGCTTTTTTCGCTGTTTTTTAATTATTAATTGCCAGTACTGAAGAGCTAATTAATTAATATTACATGTACTATAAATTTTCAGTACTAGCGGTGAATATCGGAACGCAGTCCTCATGTTACTTATACTTTTTAAGAAAAGATATGCCTCCAAAAACCTAACAAGTTTTCAGGTATAGTGAAATGTTGCTTATCTTCCTTCTAGGAAGATCTGATCTGAAGGCTATCACATGTCCGGCACGCTGCACGGTCGACGCGCAAGTGAACGTGCGCGCATCATTCTGCGCAACCGTACGGCGATTGGCTGCGTGCGCGGCGCACGTTGTCCGTGCCAGAGACGGCCGCTGACGTCAGTCACCGCCGGCCAATACCGGCGCACGGATCAGCAGTGCTGGCTGTGCGCGCGTGTAGAACGTGCACAGTGTGTGCCCGTGTGTGTGTGTGTGTGTGCGTGCATCAGTGGCAGAGAGAAGCCACGCGGAAACGACGACGGGACGGCGACGCGATCGCGAGAACGTCGTCGCGAAACGGCGCTTGTTGACCCGTTGACGCGCGACAAGATGCCAGACGAGATCCGCGTCTGAGACGACGCATCTCGCGACGACGACGCGTGCTCGGTTCGGCAGGGGACGTACGGCGAGGGAGAAGGAGGAATCGAGCGAGCGAGGAGGAGGAGAGGCGACAAATGCGTCTGGCCGTGGCGTGGCACGCACACGCGGTGAGAGCGAGGGAAAGAGGGAGAGAGAGAGAGAAAAGGAGCGAGAGCGTGGTAGCGTCGAGTCGCACCGCGCCGCACCTGACAGTCCACGCAGTCCGCCGGCCCCCGAAAAAACACTATCGCCGCGCTATATACACGCGAGACAGCGCCGTGTTTCACTCAGAACGCGAGCGCCACTGGCAATGTCGGGAAGTGACAGCCCAACATTCTTTCACGGCCAGCCGTGGTCCAGCTGGATCGAAAGAATCGGACGGGACAAGCCGCTGAGTAAGTGCGCTCAATCTGCCCATCGTGATGACGCCCCGCACGTCCGCCGCCGCCGCCTTGACCGAGACGGCGACGGGCGTCGGAGGGCGCCGTGTACCTAACCTCACTTCGACAACGCTCCTTTGTCCGGCCGACGAACGGCAGCGCGACACGCGGGCGGGGGCGCGCGCGAGCGCGCGCAGGGGGGACGGCGATGTCGAAGGGGGTGTTGTTGCGTGTGTGGTGGTGAATGATGATGTATCTGCGAGCACGAGGAGAGCGACGAACGCGCAGCGGCACGTCGTGACTCCTCGCGTGCATTCTTTGCTCCTGTTTCCCTTCCCACCACCCATGCTGTCGTTTATCCGAACGAATATTCGGGGATGATAATCTTTCAGGACTCTCTGATGATCATGTAATTTCGCGAGCGTACATCGTGATCTTGACAACAGTGGAAGATCGAGTTATGTCGACTGCTGTCAAGATCATGCGCTCGCGTAAGTAAGTCGCGAGCAAGTCGTCTTTTCGTGTAGTCGCATGCGTCACGTTTTGTTGACAGAAGATAGACCGTTTGGGACACGCACTGGCGTTCCCTTCTCTCGAGCTGAATGAGTTCTGTAACGGCGGTCGTCACCATGCATGTATACATGAAATATGTAAAGAAAATAAAGCTAGCTTATCTACCAAGTTGTGTCCTTTATTTCATACTTCTGGTTGAGTGTTGGGCTCACTTAGCTCAAGGAAAGGATATCAGATTATTAAGATCAAATTCTATCAAAATAGAGAGTGAAATGTATTCTGATGTCTTGACAAACTTGAATCTATGGTGGGAATTCAATAATGTCTATGAGCATAATGTGTCAATAATTATATCATGTTATGACATAATATGCAGAATATAAAAAGCACTGTTTCTTCTGAAATAAATATTTCACAGTAGCTAGTGTGTATCGTTATTGCAGAAGTACGTTGCATGTTGCAGGTGATGAAGAGACAGATGCCCAACCATCAAGTTCAGTTACACGACTGTCCGTAGAAGGTATTCGCTAGCTCATATCAATATGTAGTCAATATGTATCATGAAGTGATAATATATGTGCACACTTCTGCAATTTGTTATTTCCATTTTGTACAACTTGACACAACACTGATCCAACTGAATCTTTTACAGATATTGATCTATACGGCTTCTGTCCAGAGAGAGATTTGTTCTATGGAGTGGTATGTGAGATATGCAATGCCATAGTGAAACCACAAGCCCTTATTCAACACATGGGTATGTATATACATGCTTCATCAATTAGCACACATAACTGTGCATCTGTGTATCCTCTTATTGTGAAGCATAATCGAGTCTTTTACACAATTGAGTCTTATAATCAGAAATATAGATCTATGAAATTAACTATACAATAAATAAATAGAGGATATATTTTTTACCATAGAATATCTCTGTTATCAAGTCACAATTTGAAGACAGTTGTGAGGAACTCAATGTCTAATTTTAAAAATATGATAATCTCACTAGTAACTTGCAGACATTATAGTCTAGAGATTCTCGACTTCATAGCGACATTACAGACAAGTGATAAAACCATATAAACACACGAATTTTGCATTCTGCCACAGAAAGTCGTCATCCTTCAGGCACGGCGAATTTCCCACCACCCCTAACCCCGACCGTGAAACCGACCGTGAAAATCCCTTACTGCAAAGTGTCGAAGCTGAAGAAAAGCCAAACGCCAACTCCCACGATCCCCGTAGTCGACGTGAACACGAAGCTGAACCATACGGCCGTCAAGCGCAACGTCGAGCAGACGAACCTCTCCGCTGGTAGTGGCTCGTTGCCGATCTCCTCGTCGCCTCGCTCGCCCCTCGAGTCGATCACGGTTCAAACGACAACATCTTCCAACGTTACCGGCCCTCCTGTCGTCACGTCCAGTCCTAGCAAAAGTCCAGTCGTCGCCAGCATCGGCCAGCCTCGGCGGAAGAGGCTCAAAGCGGACCGTTCGTTGCTCAAAGACCGAGAGTACGATCCCGACCGACATTGCGGCGTCTGGAACGAGGAGACCGGCAAGCCATGCACGAGGTCGCTCACGTGTAAGGCGCATACCGTCTCGCTGCGCCGGACGGTCGTCGGTCGCAGCAAGACCTTTGACAAGCTCCTCGCGGAGCACCGCGCCGCGAAGGAGCAGCCGAGCGGCAGTGGTCGCGCGACGACCAAGGTGACGGTCGCCGGCACCGTCACCGTGTCCTCCGTCGCCGCGTCCAGTCTGAATCCCCATGCTCCCAATACTCCAGTATCCACCGCCGAGCCGGAAGCGCCGAGTTCGCCGCCCGTTCTATCGCTGCCAGACTCGTATCCACTGCCAAAGGTAAGGAACAAAGCCATTACGTTCTCTCCTTCGTAATCTTTTTTTTTTCCTATTTTTAAATTATTCTTTTTTTTTTTCTTTTTTTTAAGTACCTCAGTGTCTTTTACACACAAGTCATGTCTGATGACGATTGGTATCTCTAGTTCTCCACGGTGTGAATTCGTTTGACTTACTTTCGAGATGAGTAGTTGCCATATCAACCTGGAAAATTGATCTTCTTTGCGCCAGCAAACCCTGAAATGAGGGAACAAGGGTTATTGGCGCAGCGACGAAATGAAAGTTTTGGCTTGATCGTGTGTGGTTGAAGCGGAGAAGTAGTTCCGTTCGAAAAAGTAGGTTTCAAACGACAATAAAGAATCGTGCCATTTGGCAATGGACGCAAAGAACGGGGTTCTTTCATGGTTTCGTTACTTTCGGTCGAAGTTACTGTGTACTTCACGATTAGTTTCAGATAATGTGCATGATATATATTGCTCCTCTGCTCTTATTTTGTACTGTGCTTTGAAACTTTCATTTCTTGCGTATTGTTACATTGTCGGGCATTGAAAGATTGGGTTGTGCAGAAGGTGATGTAGAAATATTTGCTGTAGCCGTAATGATAAATTCATTTCACTGATCGAATCAATAGCGACTCCAGGAATTGTCTTAGAAACTTCATGGCTTTGGGCAGCGAAAAATTCATCGTGATTCAGATAAATTTGATATCGAATGATAACGAGAGAATGAATCTCGCATGTTTCTACGTGGACCTTCGATATAGACCAGATAACAGATACCAAACTCAATAACCCATATCGATATAATCATCTGATTATTGTTACTTTTAATTTAGTGAACTCCGATGTTACATCTTCATAGATTATTATCGATACTCGTGAGAATAAAGTTGATCCGAATCTTTGCGCTCTCTTACGATAATAATAAAAAAGGCACGAATTTTGAAGAGCGTTTTTTTTCTGAAGAAATAAGAATGTACTTCAAAATATTGATCTCCCTTATCGATGTAACTGCTCGTTGTCAGATATTTGTAAGTAGATTTTTAAAGAGATCCTCCCGCGTAGCTAATATACAGGGTATAGCAAAAGTACCGGAACGGCAAGATAACTCGGCGGAGGAGCATTTTAGAGAAAAATGTTTCAGACAAAAGTTGTAAGGCTTAAAAAAACGCATTCAACGATAGTAGTTATTTGACATAGGATGGCGTCGCCAAGGTCAGAACAAGGTCAACTTTGCTTTTTTAAATAGAAACACATATTTTTTATTACGGCATTTTATTCAACGTAAAAACGCAAACAACTTTTGTTTGAAAAAATTTTTTATACGACTTCTATTTTCTAAGATATTTACGTAAATATCTACAAGATTATTGGTTTCAATAATTTTTTACTTGAATTCTATCAACTTTAGCGGAAAATATGAAGAGATAAAAATTGTATATTTTGTTCTCATAGAGCTCTGAGAATTTTTTCAGAATTTTATATTAACTTTTTAGTACTTCATTTTCTTACATTTTCTTGAAGTACTAAAAAGTTAACACAAAATTCTGAAAAAATTCACAGAGCTCTATGAAAACAAAATAAGCAATTTTTATTTCTTGATATTTTTTGGTAAAGTTGATAGAATTCAAGTAAAAAATGTATTGAAACCAATAATCTTGTAGATATTTACGTAAATATCTTAGAAAATAGAGGTCGTATAAAAAATTTTTTCAAACAAGAGTTGTTTGCGTTTTTACGTTGAATAAAATGCCGTAATAAAAAATATGTTTCTATTTAAAAAAGCAAAGTTGAGCTTGTTCTGACCTTGGTGAGGCCATCCTATGTCAAATAACTACTATCGTTGAATGCGTTTTTTTAAGCCTTACAACTTTTGTCTGAAACATTTTTCTCTAAAATGCTCCCCCGCCGAGTTATCTTGCCGTTCCGGTACTTTTGCTATATCCTGAATAAAAGAGAAAAACGTACAAAGAAAGAATTGAACGAATTTAAAAGAATTAAAGTTATTTTTCCGACAAACATGGATCGATCGGGCCGGTCAAGTTAGCACTAGCAGAAAGAGGGTGTCGGTTGATACTTGTTTTCTGTTTTTGTTATTGCAGGCTGTTGATTTGCTTTATCGGTGTCTGGCCCCGCATGGCTCCACTAAACCTGTAAGGCATGGTTTCTTTTGGGCACTTAAACGCCACCTTTTTTCTCGCCTACGAGGGCTCCATAATACTTATCGCGAGTCGCCAACGCTTCTTTTTTTAGACCAAACTCGAAGAGGACTTCGCCAATGCCGAGGAGCTGCGGAACCTAGAGTCCACCCTGGTCAATTCATCCGCTGCATCGGCCGCTGTCGCCGTGGTCAGCAGCGCGTCGCAGCAGCCGAGTTCGATGATGGCGCCAATATCCGTGATATTACCGTCGCTGTCGCCGTTGCCCGGTAACAGTGAGGAGTCACCGGTGGCCACACTAATACCGAGCACCACGACGGCCGCGATGCCGATCGTGCCAGCGCCACTGCCAGCCACCTGCGTGCAACCGCCAGCCGTGGTCGCCACAGTGCTCGAAGGCGAGACTCCAGTGGACATCGACGCCGAGACGATCTCCGCCACCATGTACTCCCCGGTCTACACCAAGGACACCAAGTCGCAGCTGGTGATGCAGGCCATGTCGAGACCCAACAGCCACCGCCAACAGTCGCAGTCGCCGGTACAGTCGGCCAGAAGCTATCAGATACAGGCGTCGATGCCGAGTCTGGGCCTGTTCGATCCGGTGGAGCAGCTGGAGCAGCAGCACGCCAGTCAGATCAATGGCAAGCGGCTGAACCACGCAAGCTCGGTAGTCATGTCGTCGCGACAGCAGAAGAAACACAAGCCACACGACTACCAGTCCTCGCAGGACTTCACAACCACAACGACTTCGATCCAGGTCGAGGCCACCACGACCTCGTCGCCGTATCCGCACTTTGGTGATATCTCATGGTCGAACTGTCATCCGGAACCTTTAGCCGTTAGTCGGTGGCTCCGTATCTCATCCAGCCGTAAACAGTACAACTTCAATATTCACTGACACAAGACCCCACCCACCCCGGGCTGAGGACTGTACGCTGTGGGCGATAGTTTACTACTACCTCTTTTCTTCCTGGAGACCTTCTTCACCGCCGCTTACGTCGTCGTCATTATCATCATCATCATCATCATCATCATCATCGTTATCGTTGTTATCCTAGTCGTCGTCTCCCCTCTCATCATCACCATCATCATCATCCTTATTGTCGTGTCCGCAGCCCGTCGAGGAGGGAAGGTTCTTGTGTTCATCGTCGCAATGAGACCGATGAGACTTCGTGTACACGCTTCAGCTACACAAGGTGACATTGTTCGCGGATCCCTCGGCCAAAACACGAAAACCGAACTCACACGTTCACGAAGTTTCTTCCTCGTGGTATTATTCTCGACGGACAGCCGCTGTCGCGCGTGTAATACGAAACTTTCTCAGTTTCTCAGATCACGAGCATGCCGATCGCCGTGGCGCGTCGAGCACAGACGAGGGATCCTCGATCGACGGCCAATGACGGTCGCGTTTCTGGACGTGTACCTGATTCTCAAGGAACTCTACAAAGAGCAGGAACGGGTCAATATGTGACCCGCTCCGATGTATATCCTACTCCCGTTTACTCGCTTTGTAACGTATGTTAGGGAGAAAGAGATTAAGACAATGGGAGAGTGAGAGAGAAAGCGAATTGGAGCGATTGAGAGAATGGGTCTCGATAACCGCGTGAATGAAGTAACTCCATGATAACGGGTAGACAAATTTCCGCGCACGGTCCTGCCGTTACTTTTGCCGTGCGGCTCGTAACGCCGCGGAACATTCCTTTCGGTCTTCTTCGTCACGGACCGCGATTTCCCTATGCTAGGTGATTGCTAGGTGCTCTTCGACGTGCAGGAGCTTGCGTTTTCGCATTGGGAAACATTCCCAATCGTATTTCCAGTCCCTTACAAACGTTGTGACTTCAAATTCCTTTCGGAATTGTGACTTCATGGTCTCAAGCCTCTTTGTCGTTGGACAAGGTCCACGCTTGAACGAATGAAGACGTGGATCTTGCCGACTGATCCTCTAGGAACCGAGCACGGAAAAGTTGTCCTCGCGGTACAACAGCATGCCACCGTGCGCGGCGCATTTTCTATTGAATCTGTGTATGTGCATGACTTTTGTAAATAGATCGCAGATCAGACTTGTCTCATATTGTACATAGACCAAGAGCGTTTAGTCGAGCATCGGTCGCGCTCAGCGTTCGCTATTGATACGCGCGATTTCTCTTCGCGTAGAAGAGTGACAAGGTAAGAAAACAAGAACAAAATCGATCCAACTTGTTTTCCTGTGAATAAAACGCTATATAGAAAGAAAGAGAGAAAGAGAGAGAGAGAGTCTTGATTGTATATATACATACATATATATGTACATATATATTTTTTATCGATCACGATCTCTTACCCTTTTAACGTATACATGCATATATATGTGTGTGTCTGTGTGTGTGAGTGTGCGTGTATGTGTGTATTTTTCGAACACGAATCGCTGTTATTTAACGTTGCATTCGCTTCTCTCTCCTTTTTTATCGGTTTTCTTTCGTCATAGAGCCATAGTAGAAATCATAGAATATTCGAAATTATCTGTTCGAGCGAGTTTGTGATCTCGGTATCTCTGCGTTGAATTTCCGGTGACGAGGCCGGTTGCGATTGTACACAGGTTGTCTGACGCAGTCCCGTGTACCTCGTGCGACTCGGGTCAAACTGAATGCAAAATAAGATAGAAGGCTTTTTGGTAGAGTTTAATCAAATCTACAAACACGCCGGCAGGGTCTGTCACGTTAGCCGTGCGATTATCCGCCAATATTCCTTAACTGACAGCTCAAAATTTTACACGGTCGTTTGCGCAGTAGTGGAGAAGCTTTCATTGTTCAGTCTGGCCTGATCTGCATGTAGCGCGCGAGATACGAGACACTGTGCGTCTCAGAGACCCTGTATACGCGGCACAGATGCGGATCGAATGTCATTTTTTTCGGGCGAATTGCGTTTTCGCCGACGTGAGAAATCGAAGGGGGAGAGTCGGTGGAGGAGCGACGGGCGACCGCCGCGTCCTTAAATCGACCGAGCGCGATGACATCGCGGATGGCGATTTGTGCTTTCTTATCCATGCGTATGTATTTGCGCTACACGAATGCGAATGGGCTTCCGCGGAAACGCGACCGATCCCACCGCACCTCATCCGCGCTCGTCCCTTCGATACTACGGCGAGGTGTCTGCGCTCGCCTCCGTTCCGCGGACACGAATTTAACCGATGAAGGTCCGCGCAGACCTACGCAACGCGCGATCGATTGAGGACGCATTGATTCAAGGCGCTGGGAATGACGAGGGATCTAAGGCCGTACTTATTGTAAACAAAGGCGACTTATGCGAGCCAAAGGGATCGATTGAGAGGCTTTCACGTGAAGGCCAAAGAACGAACGGCTTCCTCTTCTTAATAAACATTCGGCTGATGTAGCGCAGCGCAATATCGCAATAATTATCTTGGCTCGCGCAACGAGAGAGTCACCCTCTGTGACTCGGATCCTTCTCGTTCGCAGCGCTAGGACAGTCGAGCGATCGATCGGCCGCGTAGAATCGCCAGGCACCGGCGCCTAAGGTCATCGCGGGCCCGAAACAGACAGATTAGTGAGTTACACACGGCTGATTCACCCGAGACAGTTATTTATTTTTCTACGCGCTCTCGTTGATTTCTGCATCTCGCGCACTGCAGTTTCCACGACGGGTGAAGCGCCGCGGGACAGGAGCGCGCACGCATACGCGAACTTCTTATCATAGATTGTGATATTTAACTGTTAATTATCTAGTAGGGTGTAATAATGTACATGTGTCTAGATGTGTTTGGCGCGACAGGAACGTGTCGACGTTACTGTTTCTCTTTCCCGGGTTTAACGTCTCCCGCATCGTACACAGAAAGGGAAAGAAGTAAGCGAAAGGAAGAGGAAGGAATCGCTGACCTCGCTCGGGGGAGACGACCTTCCGCTTGCAGGTTGCGCGAGCGAGCGACGTGTTTCTGTCGATGTACGTAGGGTGGAGCGAAAAACCGTGCCCCTCATCGTGGTCGCCGGCGCTGATCCTCTCTCGACTTACCTGAAACCGTGATAACTTGTATATAGATTGTGTAAGAGCAATTGTGGTCCGTGAGTATCGATTAACGTATTAGCCGTAAGAATTCGCGTGTGTACGTGTATCCCTAGAAGAGAGGATAAAGAACCGAGAGAGGGATCCGCGCGAATGGAAGTCGCGAAGAGCGCGCTGAAACCCCGACACGAGAGCCAGTGGTGGCTCACCCACGCGATCGCGCGCGCTCGCGTAGCGAATGCTTCGCAAACGACGTCGCATTCAGTGCTAAATGTGGTCCCTGAGCTCGATCCGCCCTCGCGATACGAGAGTCGCGCGCGACGAGCGATGATTAGAGAGAGAGAGCGCGCGCGCGCGTCACCGCCACGTTTTAGCGCTAAACGCGGCTTTCTCGTGCCGAGCTATTATTTATTCGCGCGATGTCAACGCGAACTACATTTAGCCCCGGATGAATTCGCGACGGTGCAACACGGCCAACGAGACACGCGCGAAATGCTACGACCAGGCGCGCGCGCGATCGATCGGTTTCCTCCTTTTTTTCTTCTACGTTCCCGCGCGTCTCCTTTTCTTTTTCCTTTCTTGTTTTCTTAGGATCACGTATGTACCACAGTTAGTGTTCATTGCTGGGCGCGCGACTGTCAATGCCAGCAGACTTCGAGCTACACCGTTAACGAGTGCTGTCGAGGAATTCCGCTCGCTGAGAGCAGCGGCTTTTAACGACTTGTATTTCCGCTCCCTTTTTCACCCTTCGAACAACCCGGCAGAGAGCAATAACGTGTATGATCCACGGCGACCGAGCAGCAATAATTGTTCGTTTTCGTTTTAAGCGCGAGACACGCGTCGCTGAAGAACTCGTTCCCGGACGGCTCTCGCGATCGCCGAAGCGCGGGGAGCGACGACCGCGGATGCTGCGTCTCTTTTCGAAACAGCCCTGTTGAAAAGATGAGAGAAAAAGAGCACTCCAAAAATATGTGATCTTATATTTAGCGGAAATCCTCTCAGATATGGTCTCAAGATTTTTCTGACGTCAAAAGGAAAATATTCTAACACCCTAAAAAACACTCTAACACTGTTTCCTGTAATCCCATAATATTTCAAGTGAAAAACCTCATCGGAAGAATATTCCCCTTCCAATGAAGTGAATCATTAATCCTAGATATTATTTTTGTTTCCTTTCAAATCAAGAGGAATATGTTCACTTAAAGCAGAATGCTTTCTTCCTACTGTAGAACAAGATTTGTGTGATAAATAAAAGATGAAACTTATCTTAATTTAAAAAATATTGTGCTTAGAATATTTTCCTCGTGGTTTCGGAAGAGTCACCCTCATGCAAGAGGATTTCCGCTAGAGATCAGATTTTCGGGTGAGAAATCAGAGAGACTGGCGGAAAGTCATTTCGCGAAACTGCAAATTCCGAGTCCTCGAGGGCGGCAGTTGCTACAGAAATCGTCAAGTTCCCTCCAATTTCTCATTGCTGCTTTTAAAAGGCTACTTTTTAATTATCTCAGTGTTAACACGCTAAAGGATGAGAGGAGAAGTTCTTGCTCACAGAGACGTGGCACGTTCGTCGTGTGTACCTAAGAACAGTTTTGCTGCTCGTTCCAAGGGAAAGGGAGCGAAGAGCGATATAGAAAGGTGGAGAAAAAGGAGAGGAAATGTCGACGATTCGTATCTCTCTTCTGTAACCCTCCCTCCCCCCCCCCCCC